GCCATGGTACTCTAGCTGGGGCAACACAGTGAGACTCTGTCTCAAAAAAAAAAGGACACACAGTTACCAGACCCATGGGCTGTGGCCCTGAAGCTGCTCCCCGTGCTGCAGGTTCTGCCGTGCTGTGCCCAGGTAGACAGCTGATGTCAAAATGTTGCCCGGGGCCAAGTCCTCTGCACATCCCCTCCTCCCCCATTCCCTTTTCACTTTCTGAAATCTCAGGAGTTCCATCTTGGACAAGGACACCAACAGAGAGTTGACCACATAGGTTGGGAGGCGCCTGGTTTCCCCTGTCTGTTCTGACCCTGTTGCCCATGAGTAGGACTCGCTCCTTGGAACCCTTTTCACATCGATCCATTATCGGCTCCTGGGATAACTTTTTTCTCTCTCTTACCCAGTGGGTCTTCAATTCTCATTCTTAATCTTTAAGAGAGCAGAGAGCCAAAAGTTCTTGGATTTTAAGATTTGACATACAAGTCAATGCTAACCTTATTCACTGTCAAGACTTTCTAGAAGCCAAATGCGTAGTCTTGGAACATGAGGTTGATCGATGGCATGAGCAGGCCTGGGGACCAGGACAATAGGGCTTCTAGCTCCCGGCCACAGACTCTCGCAGTCGTCAGCTTGCCTTCTTACTTAGTCCCTCCTGCCTTGTGTGGGTGGGAAGTTCCTTTCTACCTTGCAGCAGAGAATTGGTTCAATGTATATCAGAGGAGGGAAATTTCCAGAATGGAAAGTCCATCTAGAAAGGATACTAGCACAGGGGTTAAGGGCTGTATCATGTAGTCCAACAGGTCCAAGTTCAAGTTGAGCCTCCGTCACTTATTGGCTGAGAAACCTTGAGCAGGTGATATTGTCTGTTTGAGTCTCAATTTCCCCTTCTGCAAAAGGGGATAGTAACTCCTATCTCTCAGGCTATCGTGTGCAGTAGATGAGAGGACACAGGAACAGCTGGCACCATGTCTGCCTGTGGGAAACGCTTAAGGTGCAGCAGCTGCTGCTTGTCAAGGAATCAGACTTTGGGATCCTAACAGGGTGGATCGGAGACCATTGAGGCCAGAAAAACCTCCCTGCTGAACAGCAAACGTTGTCCGTTCTTTTGTTTCTGTGTGACTTTATTGTTGTCTTCTAAAATATATTTTTTAAAAAAGGTCAAATAACTCATAGCTCATCAAAACCGTTAATGGTCATTCCATGAGAGGCAGCAAATTGGGGCTCTAGGCCCAGATCTGCCACTGCCTTGCAGGGTGACCATGCCTCGTACCCTTTGCAACCCCTCAATGTCTAGCTCCATGCTGGCCTGGAGCATAATAATGGCTTGTATGTATTAAGCACTTGTATGCCAGGCACAGTTTTAAGCAATTTTCTTATGCCAAGGCACTTAATCCTCATAATCCTATGTGGTGGGTGTTTTTATTAGACTTATTTAACAGTGAGGAATAGTGCTAAGCACTGGTAATCCTGGTTGACCAGGGAGTGGTGTCCACTAGGCAGTTCCCTGCTGTTCCCAGGCCTCCTTGCTTTGAGAATTCTCTTTGGCCTGGGTCTGGGCAGAGGGTCAGGGTGGCCACCCTGGGCTTGCTTGGTAAATTCCTCTAGCCCCAGGCCCAGGAGGCAACTAGGTGAGGCCTCTTCTCACCTCTCCATCCCGAGGACCCTTGATTTATAGCAGCAGAAACTCAGGGTGTGCCTCACTCTCCACGCCCCTAGAGCAGGAAGGTTTCTGTCATTTCTCTTTCCTGTGTGACAGCTCCCTCTCCTTCTCAGAGCGCAACTCCCCACACCCTGGGGCCCAGTGGGATGGGAGACAGTGCCCTGGATGAAGCCCTTGGGAGAGCTGTCACTTCAGTGTGCCTACGTGTGGCCTGGTCTCAGAGTCTATTCCCACTAGAGTCTGAGAATGTGGGCCTGAGCAGCTGGGTGGCAGGTGGGCACTTCCAGCAGCATGATTTAAAGGTCCTCGGCCACCCACAAGTCTGCCACCATGTTGACATTTTACCACTAAAGCATTTTTCTGCCGTGGTAAAGATTGCCCTCCGGCACATGGAACGCAGCGTGTCTGAGTGTGAGTGTTGGCTTTGGTGCTAGATGAGGCTCAGTTTAAGTCCTGGTTGCATTACGGACTAGCTAGATGTTCTTGGGCATTTTCTCACTCTCTCCCAGACTCAGGTTTCTTCACCTTTATAGGTGAAGCAAATGGTCCTTCCCTTGTAGTGTCCTTGTGAGAAGGAGCTAAGGAAAGGAGAACATTTGTGTACATTACAGTACGTGCCGGTGCACTGGGGCACCGGGAGACCGGTCAGCGCCCACTTCACCTCTGGGGCTCTCTCTTCCTAACCTGGACAACCGCATCTTCTTACCCGCCACTGTCCTTCACACACTTGGGCTCTCAAGTGAACACACCCAGAACTCTTCCCCTCGTTTGCCTTTGCTCGTGACTAAGAGCATGTGCTTTACCAGCGATTCCTCAAAATGTGGCCCCCGGACTGTCAGTGTCACCTGGGAAGTTGTTAGAAATGCAACTTCTCAACAACCCTACACCTGGTGAATCAGAAACTCTAGTGGTGGGGCCCAGCAATCTATGTTTTTTTAAAATTAATTTTTAAATTTATCATTGACATACAATAATTGTACCTATTTATAGGGTACGGTGTGATATTCCAATGCATGTACACATCGAATGATCAGATCAGTTTGTCCTTTCTTTGTGATAGTAACATTCAGAATCTTCTAGCTATCTTGAAATAGCCGCTGCGTTGTTCTTTGCTATGGTCACCCTGCTGTATAAGCAGCCTGTGTTCTAACAAGGCTTGCACGTCACTCTCGAGCAGCCGGAGTTTGAGAACACTGTTTTGTACCACAGCATCATCCTGCAGGAGCTCGAATCCTCAGGGCCACTCACCTACCGGGACCTCGGACCACTCCCTTAACTTTTCTGAGCTTTAGTTTCTTTCACTGCAAAATAAGAATAATAATAGTACCTGCCTTATAGGATAGTTGTGGGAATTAAGTGAGATGATAATTCATGCAAAGTGTTTAGCTCAGTGACTAAACGTGGTCAATGTTCTATAAAGATCAGATATTATTTTTACCACCATCACCATTATTCTGTATTATATCTCCATCCGTCCTCCTTCCCCCCATTTCTCAGTGAAATAATCCCCGGTGCTGAGTTTTCCCAACCAAAATGTCTGCCTCCTGCAAAAAGCCTTTCCTGGCTGCTTACCCTTGAGCCCACATGGCTTGTCTCTTGAGCGACAATGCCTTGTATGTGTCCAAGCTTCTCCGCACCAGTTCCTGGGTCCTGCTTGCTTCTGAGTGCCCTGCAGCAGTCGACTCCAGCTGTGGGCCTCTGAGCAGCTGCTCTAGCACTCTGCAATAAAGGTTCCCCCGAAATGCCATTTCCCAAGACCGGGTTCTGCTGCAGGGCTTCCTCTCCCTGGTGCTCCCGGTCAATGGCCGTGCTTTCTCCCTGGCTTGAAGCGCTCTGCAGTCTTCTGTGTCTTTCACCATCTTGAGGACTTCAGAAGAACTCGTGATGGGTTATCTAGAAATTTTGTCGTTACCACATTGCAGTTTGTCGTTGTCACTTCCCATCCATCACACTAGTTCCCCTTGCATAAGTGTTCACTATGGAAGTGTTTTATTGAATCCTCTCTATAGCTTCGCGACGTCAGGCTGATCATCCTCATGTCATACATGAGGGAACTGAGGCCCCAGGTCTGCGGCTTCTTTGTGGCAGCGAGCTCCAGAGTTTGTGTCCATTCCGCTGCCCCACACTGCTGAACAGTCTCAAGTTTCCAAAGCCAGTAACTCTCTGAATTCCTTGGCATTGGCCTGAGGCCGCCCATTCATGGACCTTCCTCTGGAATGGCATCAATTTGACCCTCCTTACTTACGTTCAGTTTCAGGTCTGTGCGGCTACTAAAGAATGACCCAGTCAACTTCCAGAAGTTCCCCTACACCAGTGAGGATGAGGCATGGAAGACGTACCTGGAAAACCCCTTGACAGCCGCCACCAAGGCCATGATGAGGGTCAATGGGGACGATGACAGCGTTGCGGCCTTGAGCTTCCTCTACGATTACTACATGGTGCGTTCGCCCCTCTGGGCATGCCCCCTCTGACTGAACCTGTGTCTCAGCTTTCAGGCCTCATAGCTCAGCAGCCCACCGTGACCACCCCCCTGGGCCTTGGCACACGCTGTTCCCTCTGCCTGGCACCCTCCCCTTCCCCTGGCTAAAGCCTATTCTCAACTTTGGGTCTCAGCTTAAATGTCACGTCATTCATTCATGGGGGGAGGCTTTCTTGGGTCTCTCCTTTGGGCCTCCTCTGGGCACCCTGAGCAACCACCATCATTATCCTTAACTCTATCTTTAGAAACTTGCTATTTGCACGTTTATTGCTCTTATCTCCCTCACAAGGCTGAGCTCTTGGGGGCAGGAACCACATTGTGATCATCACTGAGTCCCCAGCATGCCATGGAGCCCGCCACACAGTGCACAACGCATCCTGACTGATCGCATGAGTCCTGACCACCCCTCGCCTTGGCCAAGCGCTCTCCGTCTCAGCAACACCCCCACCCCACCGTCTTCTTTCTGGCCCTCAGAGCACACCAGTTTCCTGTCTTCCCCACCCGCCTAGTCTGGCCCCACCAGCTGAAACATACCTTCTGCTCTTTAACCCATTCCCTTCCTTCGGGGCCCTTCCCAAGGCCCATCCTGCCACGTCACTTCTCCCTCCCCCGAGCATCTTACTGCCCTTCCTAGCCCTGCTGCCATTATGTCTTCCATTGTTCTCTATTTCCAGAGCCTTGGCCTTGACTCTGGGAGAATGTCAGTTTCTGGGAACAGGACTTAGGCCCTTCCATATCTGATAAATGAGGCTTGAACCAGTCAGCAGTCAAAAACATACAACACGCATGACATAACCCCTCCCCGCCACCACCTCCAGTGCCTGTGCCAAACACGGCAGTCGATTACGGCCTGCATTCTTGCTGAGGCTACAGAGTCTTTGTCAACCCAGCAGTCTAGGCAGCCCCAACCCGCCTATCTGAATTGTCACAAGACAGCAAACTCACTGGCTGGAGGATTGCTCCAAGAGACTTTCCTAAACTTGGATATGGGAGACATGAAGAGCCAATGGTTGAGATAACTGGCTATGAACTTGAAGATTTAAAGCTACCTTGTAAATAAGCTCTTAAACTTACTAGCTCAAGATGTATTTTATTCACTGTTCCATAAGAAGGAAGGCAAATGCTCTGCATGAATTCAGAGACCAAGGGAGGGCAGTGGGACATGGTTCCAGATAGGAAAAGGCCCCAATCTCTCTGCCTTTGGTTGTCACCCTGGAGTGACGTGGTTCCCCTACCCTACCGCCTGCCCAGCAGACTAGTAATAACCCGACAGTGTTCAGCCCAGGCTGATAAAAAAGGAATGTGAATGGCTGCCTCAGCTTGGGGCCATGGTAGGAGCCAGAATTCTAGGTCTGGGTTCAAACCCCAGCCTGGGATTTATAGGTTGAGGTTGGACCATAAAACAAAATCCAGCATCATCTCCCCTGGGCAAGAGGCCATTCCCAGGGCCAGAATGGTAGGGACAGGCTCTGAAGGGGACACCCGCAGTATTGGTTCTGGTGAAGAACAGTGTCTTGGTGAGACACACCTGCCCTGCCCCCCCCATCCCACAGCATTCTGGATCCAGAGCAGCCCTGTGGATAGTGAGGGCATGGTCCGATGGAGCAGAAAGAGCACTAAACCGGGAGTTTGAGACCTAGTCCTGCCGCAACATAGTGCTAAAGGCATCCACGTAACGTTTCTTACTGAATGCCTGGCACTGTGTCAGGCTCCTTCCGTCGTACTCTCCCATGGGGAATGGTTAAGAGCCCAGGCTTTGGAGTTGCTAGACTGGAGTAGAGTCCTGGTTCTGGCTTCATCAGCCTTAGGGACAAATGAGTTAGAAAGTTCTGTGATATAGCAATAGTATAACTATAATCACGAAAGGGCACGTATTTATATATTGCTCTCCTGTGCTAGATGCTGTTGTAAGCACTTCAAACAATTCCTGAGGTTCGTATTTCTGTCATCTCTGTTTTTACAGATGAGGATATGTGATCCAGAGAGGTTAAGGTATTTGCATAAGGTCACACAGCTTGTATGTGGTCGGTCTAGAAATTGAACCCAAAAATCTGGATTCGGGGTCATGCTCCTAAGCACTAAGACAATAGTCTCTCTGAGCCTCAGTTTCCTCATCCATATAATGGTGATAGTATCAGTAGGTAGAGTGGTTGTGAGGGTTACATTAGACAATAGAAAGCACTTGGTACAAGCCCTGGTATGTATGAAGTCCTCTATTAAAAAACATTGAGGGCCAGGCGCAGTGGCTCACACCTGTAATCCTAGCACTCTGAGAGGGCTAGGTGGGAGGATTGCTTGAGCTCAGGAGTTCGAGACCAGCCTGAGCAAGAGCGAGACCTCGTCTCTACTAAAAATAGAAAAAATATTAGCCGGGCAACTAAACATAGAAAAAATTAGCCGGGTGGGATGGTGTGTGCCTGTAGTCCCAGCTACTCAGGAGGCTGAGGCAGGAGGATCACTTGAGCCCAGGAGTTTGAGGTTGCTGTGAGCTAGGCTGA